TATATATATATATATATATATATAAATCCGGGTCGGTTTTTTTCGGGCGGTTCAGGGGTTCAAACTGGATCCAGACCGGTTTAATCCGGTTCGGGCGGTTTAGAGCCTTCTTCTCATCCATTTAATCCGGTTCGATTAACCTGCCCGTTATATATATATATATATATATATAAATTCGGGTCAGTTTTTTTCGGGCGGTTCAGGGGTTCAAACTGGATCCAGACCGGTTTAATCCGGTTCGGGCGGTTTAGAGCCTTCTTCTCATCCATTTAATCCGGTTCGATTAACCTGCCCGCTTTTTCGGACGGTTTTTTCGATTGAACCGGTTTTTTCGGTTTTTGCCCACCCCTAATAAGAAGCCGTATGCAAGGGAGAAATGGGTAAATCCTTGGACTTCCCATTTATAATATCAATCACGGGCATAAAATCCTTCTCCATCTTCTTAAAAACTTGAATGATATCTTTCTTCATATCTTCAAGCATCCCCACCAAAAACCCCATTGAGGATTTGTAGTCACTATCGATAACCCTAATAATCGAAAAATAGGAGCATACACTTTTAAGACATTGCCCACTGTTGTCCACCAACTATCACCCATAGCAACCGCCTCCACCTTTGGCCTATAGCCACCTTTGCAAGTTTGCATCTCACCCATGCTTCATCAAAGAACATATATCTCATCTCCCCCTTCTTCTCAAGAAGTCTCTGCAAAGTCAAAAATATAGTGTCGAAGCAAGTGACTCCAGGCCTCACAATATCCCTCTTGTCATATATACAACACATCATGGACAAAGTCTTGTGATGATTGTAAATAAAGACGGTAAAATCCTTACTTTCTCAATTGCTCCTCTAAATAAGCTCAACTTCCGATGCTCTCAAGCATCAGGTCAACAATGTGTGCTACATGGCTAGTCCAAAAGATCCTCAGTCTCGCCCTGTATAAAAGCTCCTTCGCCACCATATTTGCAGTTGCATTATCTATGACAACATGAATGACTTTATCAGCTCCTATCTGCTCAATAGCTCCATTAACCAACTCAAATATATATTGCTCTGTATGTGCCTCTTTGAAGGTCTCAATCGACTTATAGAAAGTTGCTCCAATTTGCAATGGATGCAAAGATTTATTACCAATCACATCTTTCTATCCGACAAAGCATCAGTCATAATGGAGCATCCACTCTTGTCCCGCTTCTCCTCGTGTGTCTTTAAAGAGACATTTGTTCTCTAAACAGCTCTTCGCAATAGGGGCTCCTTTAATATGTACATGATGGAAGGTCTATAGCTCGGTCCATAGTCTTCAATAACCATGCATGTCTTCAAAAAGAAATCCATGGAGATTGATGACATGAAAGGCGATGGTATTTTCATATGCCCAAGTAGCTAGTTGATCATGTAACCAAACTCTCTTCTCCTTTAAGAAATAATCTTTCACCCCGTTTTGCTTCATTTTCCCTTTCAACCTCTTCGTTAGCTCCTGATCACTAGCGGTATAATCATCAATCAGCCCGACAGTAGGCTCTCTGGACCTCTTTGAAGATTCACCGCATGTAGGAGGAGAGATGATTTCATTTTTCATCTTTTTCTTCATCCCTCAACCTCGTCGTATGGAGTTCTTCTTATAAGTCCATAGTGTGCCTCTCCTTAGCGTCAATCACTTCTTTCACTCTTTGCTTATTTTTTCTTCATTAATCTTCAAACACAGTCTACAAGATGCTTCTTAAATTGTTGGATCCCCACATTCACCTTGTGTCCACATAGTCAGCATTGCACAATATTCAAATTTTTTTGGTCCGAACAAAATTAGAACGCCCAGCCGATGTTCCATGAGTTCCTTCTATCTTTCACGGGGGGCACAGGAATAGTGGTGGAACCTGCAGACTCCTTTGCAAGTACACTCGACATTTTGAATCATAATAAGTGAACAAACATACCATACATAGATTAAAATCAAATCATGATAAAACTACAATATTAAATTTACAACTAAACCAAATTTTTTTACCTAAATGTTATTTAATTAATTTAACTCACTACTTAAATTTAAGTTACTGTTAAGTTTTTTTATCACAAGTTACTGTTAAGTTTAAATTAACAATAACTACTTAAGTTTAAGTTACTGTTAACTTAAACTGTTGTTAACTTAAGTTGTTGTCAAACTTAACTGTAAGTGCAACTTTAACTTAAAATATTTTATTGTTTTAATGTTAGCTTAAACATGCTTTACTAACTTAGTATTAATTAAATTCTATACATTAAATTGTAAATAAAGAAAATTAATTTTTAATAAACCCTAATGCCTAACTATTGAGCAACAAATGACATACTAATCTCATTTATAATTTTCTTGATTTGCAACAAATGATGTGCTGCAGTGCATCGACTTTATATAATAATAGAAGAGCTTTGCTACATGGACCCAAAATATGGGACCAATAAGGGGGACAAGTAAGGTGCCCCCCTCCTATTGGATAATGAGTTGGCCATCATTAATGATGGCCAACTCCTTATCCAATAGGAAGGGGACACCTTACTTGTCCCCCCATATTGGTCCTATATTTTGGGTCCTTGAGGAATTTTTCATAATAGAATCAATAGGGAACATTCAGATGCCCCAGACTAATTTATTCTTGAGTGTTGAAATTAAATAAATAAATAAACAAGGGTTAATTGCATACTGGTTCCTTACATCATCTTTAATTGCCAAATAGTCCCTCAAAACGCATTATTTGCTTATTAGTCCCTTAAATCATTAGTTTTCTTGCAAATCCATCCCTCGTGTTATGTTGTGTTATTAATGACCGTTAAATATGACGAAATTAGGTAGAATACCCATTTTACCCCCACCTATACTAACCCAAACCCACCTTCTTTCTTCTCCAATGGTCCCATGCTTCTCCCAAACCCAAAATTAAGGTCACTCCCACGGCTAGCTTCCCTCTAAACACAAAATTTGGAAGGGAAATTTATATCCTAGAGGCAATAAGGTAACTTGAGTTGTTGAGTTAAGCATTAACTAAACTAGAGTTATTGAAGTTGACAATTGTTCTAACAGAAGGACCATATGGCAAGAAAAATGAAGTTTCAAGGGACTGATAAGTAAATAGTGAGATTTGAGGGACTATTTGGTGGTTAGATGTGACGTAAGGGACTGATGTGCAATTCCGCCAATAAACAATTAGGAAAGGGCCACGGCATCATAACTTATCGCCACGTCAGCGTGAGTCCCAACGTTCGGTCGCTCGTTCAGGTCGGCCACCTCATCGCTATCTTGAATCCAAAACCTCTCTCGTTCTTTCTCCTCCAATTACTCATCCTATTTATAAATCAATCCCTCGTCGTTTCTCTCTCCTCTCTCAAGATCTCGATCTCGATCTCTCGATTTCGATCTGGCTCTCGATCCATCGAGCTCGAGAATGGCGACCGCCGCCGCCTTCAGCCTCCTCCTCTTCCTCCTCCTCGTCGCATCGTCCTCCGCCTTCTATCTCCCCGGCGTCGCCCCTCGCGATTTCGTGAAGGTACGAGCGATCTCAGATCTGGCTACGGCTTCCACTTTCCACTAGATCTAGGTCTCTAACCCTAGTTTTTCTTTAGTTGCTGCCGTTCTCTATCTCGAGTCAAGATCGAGATCTGCCCGACCTTGTCCTAAGATCTAGTGGTTGATAAAAGTATGATGGTTTTTTTAAATAAATTATAAAAATGAGTGATACTAGGTGTCATTTGGAAAAACAGAAATTGAGAATTTTTTTGTTGCCCTCATTCAACTCCCGAATTCCTATGGAAAAGAGGAAACTTTTTAACTGATGTGAAGGTTTTGCTATTTGGTTTGTATTTTGCACTAATGGGATCGAACCTGAGCAAAATTTGATCTACATTTTTGATATTTTTCCTTTAAAAGATGACATATTAATTCGGTCTGTGGATATAGGGATGGAATATGTTTTATTATTCTGAAATTGTGATACTTGATTTGTATTTAACACGAAAAGGGATCAGATCTGGGAAATTTTGCTCTGCGCTTGTGTTTTTTCTTTGAAAGATGGCGGCTTGCTTTGATATGTGGGCTTAGAGCTGTGATTTACTGTGTTTTGTTTGCTCAGGGTGATGAGCTTCAGGTTAAAGTGAACAAACTCTCTTCAACGAAGACACAGCTTCCATATAATTATTATTTCTTGGATTACTGCAAGCCCGCAAAGATCTTGAACAGCGCTGAGAATTTGGGGGAAGTGCTTCGTGGGGATCGGATCGAGAACTCCATCTATACTGTTAGTATATTTTGATCTTTTCAATCTAACAATCATGCAATTTGCAGCATTGTTGTTGGAATCGTTGAATTGTTTTAACAATGCATTTTTTTACTTCAATCACGACCAGTTCAAGATGAGGACTGATGAGACGTGTAAAGTGGCTTGTCGCACGAAGCTCACCAAGGAAACTGAGAAGAATTTTAAGGAGAAGATTGATGATGAATATCGAGTAAATATGTGAGTTCTAACCCCTGACATTTTTCGGGCAAATACTGAAGTAGCAATATTTATCTGCAGTATAGTTATTTTATAAATGCTTTTTGTCTATGAAATTATAGCCCAAATATGAAATATTTGCAGATTTATCTTCAAATCTAGATATTTGCTAATTTACCTACCCTCCAAGCACAAAATATCCCCTAAATTTTATGACATTAGTCTTTTAATGGTGGAAAGGCAAAATTGTAGCTAGATAACTGACAGACAAAGTTGGAATAACATGAATATATCCCTTAATTTACTTTTGGGGAGTATTTGAATTCAGTGTTGTAGAATTGGAGGGCTAATTAGAAAATATCAGTAAATCTTCAGTACGGTTGATTTGGGGGTTATACAGGTTAGAAACGCCCTTTTGCAAAGTGTGTTCTAATCTCAAAGTTTTCCCCTGTTAGTCTGTTTTGTGGTCCAGTACCTAACAGATCTGTGGTGTGCTTTACAGGATCTTGGATAATCTTCCTGTGGCAGTTCCAAGACAAAGCAGAGACGGAAGCCAATTGCCAAGTTACGAGCATGGCTTCCGCGTGGGTTACAAGGACATACTGACTGGTGTAAGTTATATTCTATATTTTGAATGGTAATTCACATGTAGGTTGTGCTTGGTTTTGATATTATGGGTAACACTTGAGTTGGTTGTTGCAGAGCAAAGATAACAAATATTACATTAATAACCACCTAAGCTTCAAGGTCCTGTATCATATGGACCCTGAGACTGATGATGCTCGCATAGTTGGGTTTGAGGTTATTCCAAGCAGGTGCGTGCATTTGCTTTCATGTTAACATATTATTTGTAAATATCATTTTGCACATAACAATGTACAATTTGATGTAGTTAAGATGATTTCTAGTTATGGAATTTATATGAATTCATGAAAGTAACATACGTTAACTAAATGATAATTAGAGAAATAAGTAATAATGGCATAGATTTTCAGGCAACGAAGGATAGGGAGAGGAAATTGTTGTATTTTTAAATGATGATGATGATGATTGAATTAACATATTTGAAGTTTGAACATACTCAATTCTGGTGGTTCGTATTGTTGATCGGCTACCATTTTTGTAAAGAAGTTTAGGCAGTCACCTATGTGCTAGTGATGCACGGAGCTCCTTGTAGGCCCTGGGTGGAACATATGAAGTGTTTGGACAGCTTGGGCAGCCAAAAGCAGCTCGGGTCTTCTTAACCAGGCTTTATCTGTTTCAATAAGCTTATATAATCTGGTTGAAATCAGGTGGCCCAGTAAGTTTGGGATCAGCCGGTTGATTAGTTTAATACATGTAATGTACTCCAGTGAACTGCCCTCCCTCCCTTCTTAGTTTCTCAGTCGACTGTACCAAATGCCCCCATTGACTTTGTTTGCCTCTGCCCGCACAACTGCGCGACTCTTGCCTCTGCCCGCACCACTGCGCGACTCCTATATATATTTTTCATTTAGTTTAACTTTTCTTTTATTTTTAAACTTTGTAGTTAGTTCTTTTACCTTCGACTCCTCTGTTACTTTCTTACTCCTCGTCCTCTTTTCTTCTCCTGTGATTTGTTGTTGTCACTGCTCCATGTTGCTAACCCTGCTACCTGTTCTACTATTTCCTCTTATGTTATTGCCACTCCGTACTGCATCTAGGGCATTTTCTGACTTTTTATTGACTTTCAGTTATTTTCCATTATTATATGCTATCTTAAAAAATGAAAAAAAGTAACATGCTTAAATTTAGTGGATCTTAAGCAGCTAGGCCTAATGTTTACTAGAAGTTTTAAGAGTTCAGTGTAGAATCGCGATGAGTTTATGCAGTTCATTAACGACTTAAATTATTGGAAAAGCTACTAAATATGTAACTATCTCATTTATGTATCTGTGCAGTTGATATCTGTCCCTCTACTTGCAGAGTGCTGTTATAGATGTCATGTTTTTGACTACTACCTATCTTTCCTAGATATACTAAAAGCTCCTATTTTATGTTATATATTAGGAATGTTTGAGGTTAAGAAACCACAAACTTTATTGCTATGGGCTTCAGATACACTTTCGCACACGCTTAGGTTTTGCCGTATATATCTTTCATTCAAGATCAAGTGGGGTGTGTACGGTTTAGAATTTGAGATACTAATCAACTTCATATTTTATATAGGACTCAAGAGTCAGTTAACTCCTATTGTCCTGCATTTGACTCTGAGTATGAAAAGAAATTGAAATGGAAAAGATTATTCAATGCTATAAAAATTAAAAAAAAATGTGGAACAATTATCAAGTTATCCAGAGTTCACCTTTATGTTGCAGTGTATGAAATGGAAAAGATTATTCATGCTATCAGGATCAGGATCTTTGTCATTGTCGTTTTCTATATTTTCAAAGTGTCTTACAATCCATCTGTTGTCAATTATCTAGTTGCGATGGTGATTGATCTTCTATTGCACCTGATCGCTAATATCTTAGCATGCATGATAATGTGCATAAAAGAAGTAATCTTGTAAAGTTAGTGAAACTGCAGGTTGCCTTCATGTCCTGATTTGATGCAAATTCTTGTCTACTTCTGTTGAACAAGTTAATTTTCTTTTATTGAGATCTTGTTTGCTCTCCAAACAGTGTACATCATGAGTACAGTGAGTGGGATGATAAGAACCCAAGAGTGACAACATGTAACCCAAACACCAAAATATCTCCTGGCTCTAATGCTCCTCAGGAAGTGGCTGCTGATGCATACATTGTCTTTAGTTATGATGTTACATTTCAGGTATATATGGATTCATTATGAAGATTTCATTATTCTTTATGGGTTATTTGCATTTAACTACTCCAAAGTTTACTTCATTTATTATCGGTACCCCAAAAAATTCTCTTGCCCAAAAAATATACGTCTAAGTTCAACAAAATTTAACATTGATACCGCAAACTTAAATTTCTTGTTAATGTTTGGGGCATCAAAGATAAATTGTTGTTAAAAATTTTGGTGGAGGGGATCAAAGTAAAATTTTGAACTTTGGTGTACTTCCAAGTGCAAATAACTCTTTCTTTAAACCTTAAATTTTACGTCCGTGTGATTTTCCTAGTGCAGCCAAGTGATGTCAAGTGGGCATCACGATGGGACACTTACCTTCTCATGAACGACGATCAAATCCATTGGTTTTCCATCATCAACTCTTTGATGATCGTCCTCTTCCTTTCCGGCATGGTAGCCATGATCATGATGAGAACTCTGTACAAGGACATAGCAAACTACAACCAACTTGACACTCAAGAAGAAGCCCAAGAAGAGACCGGGTGGAAATTAGTCCATGGTGATGTCTTCAGGCCACCTACAAACTCTGACCTTCTCTGTGTTTTTGTAGGAACGGGAGTTCAGTTCTTCTTAATGGCAGTTGTCACTATGATCTTTGCTCTCCTTGGTTTCCTCTCTCCCTCAAATCGAGGTGGTCTTATGACCGCCATGGTTCTTCTCTGGGTCTTTATGGGGCTATTCGCTGGCTACTCCTCAGCAAGACTCTTTAAAATGTTCAAAGGCACCGAGTGGAAAAAGATCACCTTGAAGACTGCACTTATGTTCCCAGCCATAGTCTTCTCCATCTTCTTCGTGCTCAATGCTCTGATTTGGGGTGAGAAATCATCTGGGGCAGTTCCCTTTGGAACCATGTTTGCTTTAGTATTCCTCTGGTTTGGTATATCAGTTCCATTAGTATTCGCTGGTAGTTTCCTAGGTTTTAAGAAACCCCCAGTTGAAGATCCGGTTAAAACAAATAAAATCCCTAGGCAAATACCTGAGCAAGCTTGGTACATGCAGCCGGCATTCTCTATACTAATTGGAGGCATTCTTCCCTTCGGAGCAGTTTTCATTGAACTATTCTTCATTTTAACCTCCATTTGGCTGAATCAATTTTACTACATCTTCGGCTTCCTCTTCATCGTCTTCGTCATTCTCCTTGTGACTTGTGCTGAGATTACAATTGTGCTCTGCTACTTCCAACTGTGCAGCGAGGACTACCATTGGTGGTGGAGAGCTTATCTCACTGCTGGCTCTTCTGCACTGTATCTCTTCCTTTACGCAGCCTTCTATTTCTTCACGAAGCTGGAGATAACCAAAGTTGTCTCAGGGATTTTATACTTCGGGTACATGTTGATTGGGTCATTCGCTTTCTTTGTTTTGACGGGGACTATTGGATTCTATGCCTGCTTCTGGTTCGTTAGAAAGATATACTCTTCAGTGAAGATAGACTAATAAGTTGACCGAATC